ATAATTAGAAAGTTAAGTTGAGAAATGAGTAAAATATAGGAGCGAGGGATAAAGAAGGACTGGGCAGGAGCGTGAGCAAGTGAGCTATTTTTATACCAACCCCTTCTCCCTTGATAGCCATCACATAAGATTTGTCCTTTGTGCTATGCTGTTGCTTCGCAATCTCAGGAGTTCCCTGGGTGAAATTTGAAACTGGCCAATGTACACAGAGGGCAAGGCGAGACGGAAGAAAGAGGCAGACCACTCCAGATTGGTAGGTGGCAGTTTTCATAAGCAAGGGAACTTACATATGAGGCTTGTATTGGGTTGCCGCAAGACGAGTAGATCTCCTCACCTGCCCACCACAATCTTAAGAGTTTGTACAGAGGCCTTATTGGGGCTCAGTCACGTGTTCAGTCCAGATGGTCTCAGCAACACCTCATGCTCTCAAGGCTATGTCCTTGAAAATGGCTCCCCCAGTGGGAATGGGGCAGAACATACATTCCAAGGGGAGGGGATATGGACCCTCCTATTGCTGGGGTCTAGCTCAGGGTCACATCCTCTTGATGACCTCCTCCATCATATGTAAGGGTTGGTCCTTGGCTGGAATGCTCTGTAGTAGATGCAGCCCTGACAATGGAGGGCTGTGAGGAGGCTGTCACCAGCGTGCTGGAGGAAGCCATGAGGCTAGTCCTGGAAGGGCTTCACCAGGCTGTGGAGGGCTGCCTGAAGACCTAAGGCCAGACCCTGTCCTTTGAGCTTGCTGCCGGCGTTGGTAGTCCTGGGCAGTCGTAGCTGAAATTTTTACAGTTCTCTTGATTTTGTTCAGAAGTTTCCAGTCAAATAAAAGGCAGGTTTAAGAAGGGGGAAACAGCTTGCCATGCACTTGCCACATTAACTGAAGATAAGTCCAAACTAATTAACAAATTTAGCATTCTTATAAGAGTATGAAGACATAGACTGGTCTTTAAAGACTGCCAGCCTCGAGTAAGAGTCATCTGAAGTACCAAGCTGAGCACTCCCAACTCTGTGCTCCAGAATGAAATAGGCTTTCTAGAAAAGAAACTGAAAAAAGTGAAAATCAAATGCACAAAACAAGGTGAATTAATAGAAGGACACAGTCATTGAAGGTGAATCAAATTCCATCAAATCACAAGTGCCTTTTCCAAATAGAACACATGTGACCTCCAGCATTCCCAGCCAGTTCCTCCTCAGCAGGCCAGTCTTTGCTTTAAAGGAGAGCATCCCCCACTGTGCACGTAGACTCTCTACATTGTGGTGTGCACCCTCCTTTCTTCCAATCTGAGGTCCCAGAAACTGTAATTAAGTGAATTATTATACTTTTAATCAACTTGAAGCTTGGTGGAGTTATAGGTCTCACAATACTGTTTTGTAAATGTTATTAAAGGTGATTCTTATAAGTAAATTATTTCCATGTTATTGTGCTCTCTAGATAAGATATTTGAGATAATCAATCTCTCAAGACATAAACAAAAATTACAATGTTCCATGAGCATGGAAACATTTTAAATTTAAAAAGTAAATTTTGTATACCAAGAGCTGTATTTACTATAGTCAAAAAGAAATATGAAAATAACTTAATATTTACCAATGAAATAATTGTTAAACTTGTTTTTAAAATTTATTTTTTTAATTGAGGTATCATTGGTTTATAACATTATATAAATTTCAGGTATACATCATTACATTTTGATTTCTGTGTAGACTACATCATGTTCACCACCCAAAGACTAATTATCTTCTGTCACCATACACATATGCCCTTTTACTTCTTTCCCCGTTCCCCCTCCCATTCCCCTCTCACAACCACCAATCTAATCTCTGTATCTATGTGTGTGTTTGTTGCTATTGTTGTTGTTTTTGTCTTCCACTTATGAGTGAAATAACATGGTATTTGACTTTCTCCATCTGACTTATTTCACTTAACAGAATACCCTCAAGGTCCATCCACATTGTTGAAAATGGCAAGACTTTATCTTTTTTATGGCTGAGTAGTATTCCTTTGTGTGTATATACCACATCTTCTTTATCCGTTCATCCACTGATGGGCACTTAGGTTGTTTCTAAGTCTTGGTTATTGTGAATAATGCTGCAATGAACATAGGGATGTAAATATCTTTGTTGTTGTTGTTTTTTGTTTGTTTGTGTTTTTTTGGTGACAAAGATTAGCTCTGAGCTAACATCTGTGCCAATCTTTCTATTTTGTATGTGGGTCACCACCACCACGGCGTGGCTGATGAGTGGTGTAGGTCCATGACCAGGATTCGAACCTGCAAACTTGGGCCACTGAAGTGGAGTGAGCTGAACTCAACCACTACGCCACAGGGCCGGCCTCTAAATATCTTTTTGAATTAGTGTTTTCATGTTCTTTGGATAAATACCCAGAAGTGGAAGAGCTGGATCATAGGGTAGTTCTATTCTTAGTTTTTTGAGGAATCTCCATACTGTTTTTCATATGACTGCACCAGTTTACATTCCCACCAATTGGTGGGTTGTCTTTTCATTTTGTTCCTGGTTTCCTTTGCCTTGCAGAAGCTCTTTAGCCTGATAAAGTCCCATTTGTTTATTTTTTCTTTTGTTTCCCTTGTCTGAGTAGACATGGTAGTCAAAAAGATTCTTCTAAGACCCACTTCAAAGACTGTACTGCCTATATTTTCTTCTAAGAGTTTTATGGTTTCAGGTCTTACCTTCAAGTCTTTAATTCCCTTTGAGTTGATTTTTGTGTATGGTGCAAGATAGTGGTCTACTTTCATTCTTTTGTGTGTGGTTGTCCAGTTTTCCCAGCATCATTTATTGAAAAGACTTTCGTTTCTCAATTGTATGTTCTTGGCTCCTTTGTCGAAGATTAGCTGTCCATAGAAGTGTGGTGTTATTTCTGGGCTTTCAATTCTGTTCCATTGATCTCTGTGTCTGTTTTTGTACCAGTACCATGCTGTTTTGATTACTATAGCTTTGTAGTATATTTTGAAGTCAGGGATTGTGATGCCTCCAGCTTTGTTCTTTTTTCTCGATTGCTTTAGCTATTTAGGGTCTTTTGTGGCCCCATAGAATTTTGGTATTCTTTGTTCTATTTCCGTGAAGAGTGTCATTGGGATTCTGTTAATACTGCCATTTTATCACTTGTTTTCCAGTTGTTCTGTGTTTCCCTTGTTTCTCATCCTGTGTATTTCTGACAGCCAGTTCAGTTTGGTGTTTCTCTGATGGTTTTCTCAGTTTTCTCTTTATTTATCATTTGTGTGTCTGTGATTTTTTGTTTAGTGATTACTGTGAGGTCTTTATAAAAGATCTCACAGATGAGATAGTCCATTTCTGATAGCCTCTTATCTCCTTAGTCTAAGCAGTTTCCATCCCTTTCCTCTTCCCTAAGTTATTGTCATCAGAGCTTATTCTGGTTTGTGTTGTGAGTTTGTGATAAAAATGAAGTGATAATAGTTATTTTTGATGCTTTCCTTCCCTCTATCCCTTCTATACCTATTTTTTTCAGAGTTTTTGTCATAAATGGATGCTACGTCTTGTTGAATGCTTTCTCTGTATCTATTGAGATGATCATGTACTTTTTATTCTTCAGTTTGTTAGTGTAGTGTATCACATTGATTGTTTTGTGTATGTTGAACCATCCCTGCATCCCTGGAATAAATCGCACTTGATTATAGCGTATGATACTTTTAATGTTTTGTTGTATACGATTTGCTAGCATTTTGTTGAGGATTTTTGTATCTATGTTCATCAGTGATATTAGCCTGTAATTTCTTTTTTTGTTTTATCCTTGTCTGGTTTTGGTATCAGGGTAATGCTGGTCTTGTAGAATGAGTTAGGAACCATCCCCTCCTCTTCAACTTTTTGGAAGAGTTTGAGAAGGACAGGTATTAAATCTTCTTTGAATGTTTGGTAGAATTCACCAGCAAAGTGGTCTGGTCCTGGACTTTTGTTTTTTGGGAGGTTTTTGATTACTGTTTCAACCTCCTTACTAGTGATCAGTCTATTCAGATTCTCTGTTTCTTCTTGATTCAGTTTTGGAAGTTCTATGATTCTCAGAATTTATCCATTTCTTCTAGATTATCCAATTTGTTGGCATATAGATTTTCATAGTATTCTCTTATAATTCTTTGTATTTCTGTGGTGTCCATTGTAATTTCTCCTCTTTTGTTTCTGATTTTATGTATTTGAGTCTTCTCTTTTGTTTTCTTGGTGATTCCAGCTAAAGGTTTGTTGATTTTGCGTTTTTTTCAAGGAACAAGCTCTTAGTTTCATTGATTTTTTCTATTGATTTTTAGTCTCTATTTCATTTATTTCTGCTCTGATGTTTATTATTTCCTTCTGTCTACTGATTTTTGGCTTGATTTATTCTTCTTTTTCTAGTTCCTTTAGGTGTACTGTTAGACTGTTTATTTGTGCTTTTTCGTTTCTTGAGGTAGACCTGTATTGATATAAACTTCCCTCTTAGCACCACCTTTCCTGTATCTCATAAATTTTGGTATGTCATATTTTCATTTTCATTTGTCTCCAGGTATTTTTTGATTTCTCCTTTGATTTCTTCATTGACTCAATAGTTGTTCAGTAGCATTTTTTTTAATCTCCACATATTTGTAGCTTTTCCAGTTTTCTTCTTGTAGTCAATTTCTAGTTTCATACTGTTGTGGTCAGAAAAGATGCTTGGTATTATTTCAATGTTCTTAAATTTATTGAGACTTGTTTTGTGGCCTAATATGTGATTTATCCTGGAGAATGTTCTATGTCCGTTCAAAAAGAATGTGTATTCTGCAGTGTTGGGATGGAATTTTCTCTGTGTATATCTACTAAGTCTATCTGGTCTAATGTGTCACTTAAGGCCAATGTTTCCTTATTGATCTTCTGTTTGGATGATCTATCCATTGAGGTAAGTGCAGTGTTAAAGTCCCCTGCTATTATTGTATTACTGTCTACTTCTCCTTTTATGTTTGTTAGTAATTGGTTTATCTATTTAGGTGCGCCTATGTTGGGCACATAGATATTTATAAGAGTCATGTCCTCTTGTTGGATTTTTCTCTTTATCATTATGTAATGCTCTTCTTTTTCTCTTGTTGCAGTTTTTGTTTTAAAGTTTATTTTGTCTGATAAGTATTGCCACTCCAGCTTTCTTTTCATTTCCATTTGCGTGGAGTATCTTTTTCTATCCCTTTACTTTCAGTTTGTGAGTGTATTTAGGTCTGAAGTATATGCAGCATATATGTGGGTGCTGTTTTTTTATCCATTCAGCCACCCTAAGCCTTTTGACTGGAACATTTAGTCCATTTACATTTAAAGTAGCTCTTGATGAGTGTGTACTTATTGCCATTTTGTTACTTCTTTTCTAGATATTTTTGTAGTTCTTCTCTGTTCCTTTCTTCTTCTCTTGCTCCCTTTCTTGTGATTTGGTAGCTTTCTTTAGTGTTATGTTTGGGCTCCTTTCTCTTTATTTTTTGTGTATTTATTATAGGTTTTTGGTTTGTAATTACTGTGAGGCTCCTATATCAGAACCTAGGTAAATAGCAATCTATATTAAGTTGATGGTGTCTTAAGTCTGACCTCTTACTAAAAGCCCTACACTTCTACTCCTCCCACCCGCATTTATGATTTTGATACATATTTTGCCTCTTTTATTTTTATGTTCCCTTAACCTATTATCATGGAAATAGATAATTTTAGTACTTTTGTCTTTTGACCTTCATACTAGCTTTATAGGTGGTTGATCTGCTACCTTTACTGTTTATTTGCCCTTACCAGTGATGTTTTTTCTTTGGTAATTTTCTTATTACTATTTGTAGTCTTTTCCTTTCCACTTAAATAAGTCACTTTAACATCTCCTGCAAGGCAAGTAGGGTGGTGATGAACTCCTTTAGTTTTTGCTTGTCTGGAAAACTCTTTATCTCTCTTTCCATCCTAAATGATAACCTTGCTAAGTAGAGTATACTTGGCTGTAGGTTTTTTCCTTTCAGCACTTTGAATATATTGTGACACTTCCTTCTAGCCTGTAAGGTTTCTGCTGAGAAGTCAGCTATAGCCTTATGGAGTTTCCTTTGTATGTAACTTGTTCCTTTTCTCTTGCAGCTTTTAGGATTCTCTTTTTATCTTTAATTCTTGACATTTTAATTATAATATGTCTTAATATGGGCCTCTTTGGGTTCATCTTGTTTGGTTCTCGCTGTGCTTCCTGTACCTGAATGTCTGTTTCCTTTTCCAGGTTAAGGAAGTTTTCAGCTATTATTTCTTCAAATACGTTCTCTGCCCCTTCGTCTTTCTCTTCTTCTTCTTGGATACCTATAGTGAAGATGTTAGTATGCTTCCTGTTATCCTAGATGTCCCTTAGACTGTCTTCATTCTTTTTAATTCTTTTTTATTTTTTCTGTTCAGCTTGGGTAATTTCCTCTACTCTTTCATCTGGATGATTGATCCATTCTTCTGTGTCATCTACTCTGCTGTTGATTCTTTCTAGTGAATTTTTCATTTTCGTTATTGTATTCTTCAGTTCTGATTTGTTCTTTTTTATATTTTCCAATTGTTTGTTGAAGTTCTCACTGTGTTCATCTCTTCTTCTCTCCAGATCAGTGAGCATCCTCATGGATTGTTTATCCATAGATTGTTTACCTCTGTTTCATTTAGTTCTTTTTCTGAGGATTTGTTCTGTTCTTTTATTTGGAACATATTCTTTTGTCTCCTCATTTTGCCTACTTCTCTTGCTTATATCTATGTGTCAGGTAGATCAGCTAAATCTCTTGATCTTGGAAATGTGGCCTTATGTAAGAGATGCCTTATGGGTCCCAGCATTGTGCTCCCCTCTCATCACCCATGCCAAATGCTCCAACAGTGTCCCTTGTGTGGGCTGCATGTGATCTTATGTTATGGTGGGGTTGTAATTGCTGTGGGCATGCTGGTAGGCTAGGCTGGCCCCCAGGCCAGCTGGCTGGTTTTAAGGCTCAGCTGTGTGAGGCTGCTGTGGTCACTTTACTCACTTTACTGGGTGGGCCAAGCCCCATCACAGCTGGTTGTGAGGTCCAATAACACACAAGTACTGTTATTTTACTGTTAAGTGAGTCAGGCCCCCAGTGTGGCTGGTTGCTAGGCTCAGGGGCTCCCAATTGCTGCAGGCCTCATGTGTAGCTCTCTTTTGGGCAGGGCAGGCCTCTGGCCAGATCTGGCTGTGTTGCCCTGTGGTACACAGCTGCCTCAGCAGTGCAGATGGGTGGAGCTAGCCCTAGGTGCAGCAGCACACAGTTATTTCAGGTATTGGAAGGCGAGGCAGATCCCCTGTGTGGCTGTTTGTGATGGCCGGTGGCACAAGTTTGCTGCAGGTCCACACACCCTACTACCCATGGACTGATACACTTTGCCAACATGGCCCACATGCATGCCCCACCAGCAGGAACCCACTCCCCCCACCACAGATGTCCCACACACCCCACTTACATGGGCCCACACATTCACCACAGGCTTCCTGGTGGGCGTGGCCAGTCCCTGGAGCGGGCTGCCTGCCCTGGATGCACTTGATTAAATCAGTGCTCTAGTGGGCAAGGCAAACCCCTGTGCTAACAGGCTAGAGGAAGGAATCCAATGGTGGCTGCTAGCATCTGTGTCAGCAGAACTGAACTAGGTCACAATAATGGCAGCCACCGGTGTCTCAGTCCCTGGGGTGGTGGGCCTAACCACCTCCTGTCTTTCTGAGATGTGCTCTGAGCTTAGTAAGTGGGTCTCTTTTGCTAATGAACTATGCACTTTTGTATCTGGTGTTTTTGTTTTGGTTTCTAAATTGGTGAATCTGTGTGTGGGCCCTTTAAGAACAGGTTTTCCTTTCTCTGAAGTTCTATAGATTTTCTAGGCACACTCCCTGTTGGTTTTCAAAGTCAGCAAAGCCAGGATTTATGGGATTTCATCTCAACTGTGCTGAATCTAAGTGCTGGGATGCCTATTGTGAAGCTCAGATCCCCTGCTCCTCTGGGAAAAGCTGCATCCTTTGAGATAGCTCCCAGCTGTGAAGCATGGCACCTAGGGTGTGGTTTTTTTCCCCAACTGGGCTGAATTTCTTCTTCTTCCACCCACGTCAGTGTTGTTCCTTGTTGTGGGGGTTCTTATTGTCCCATTTCCAGATCTCTCTCTGAGGAAATTGTTTGACAGGGAGTTGTAGATTTGTAGTGTTCATAGGAGGGGGTGAGTTCAGAGTCCTCCTATGCCACTATCTTCCAAACTTCTCCTAAACTTTTTTTTAATAATCTTTTTTTTTGAGGAGGATTGGCGCTGAGCTAACATCTGTTGCCAATCTTCCTCTTTTTCTTTTTCCTCCCCAAAGCCCCAGTAATAGTTGTATATCCTAGTTGTATGTCCTTCTATTTTTTCTATGTGGGACGCCACCTCAGCATGGCTTGATGAGCAGTGAGTAGGTCCACTCCCAGGATCTGATCCAGCAAACCCCAGGCCACTAAAGCAGAGCACACGAAGTTAACCACTACGTCACCAGGCTGGCCCCATTTAAAACTTATTTTTAACTTGTTAAAACAACAAGAAAAATGACTCAAAATCACTCTACAAATAATGTTTTCTATAAATGGTCTGAGAGTTTTAGGTGCCACACAGTAATTTCATAACACTGAATAATTTGGGACCCTGGGTTCTGGTTACAGGTGACTAGATGCTCCTAGAAAATTCCAAATCAGTTACTTCCTCATATCTTGGGAAACTTAAATGATTGAGGTCACAGAAACAGAAAAATATAACCTCTCAGAGTTTCTTCTAGTCCTTTTATTTTCTGCCAAATAATGGAAGAAATCTAGCATTAAAATTTTGTTGCCACACAAAGTGCATAATCTGCTTGCTGTGAGACAAAATCCAATTGTCAAGAGGCAAGATGGTGGCAGAGAAAGGGCATTCATTCAGTGATAAGCTAGCAAATTTGGAGATGAGGGGACTAGAGTCCTAAAGAACCATCTTAAGGGAGGGCACAGAATCTTGAAGCAGTTACATAGACCAGTGGGTTATAGGGGAGGGCATTAGGAATGTTGACCCTCTGGTGTTACAGACTATGAGTGGCCATACCAGATCTTTTGGTTGTCATTGATGATGGCTATCAGCATAGACTCTCTTTCCCGGGGTCATCACATTCCTAAGGAACTCAAAAGAACAAAGTTATTGTCTTATCACAACTGGGAGGTACATACACAAGCAGGGGTCATAAAATCTACAGAGCAGGTATATCTCCTGGAGGGTGCATATCCAGCTGGGTTGGTTAGTCAGAGGTCATTCAAAGTTACAATATTGTTTCTTTTCTACAATATGGCTTCCTTTATGTCAATCTTGTGTTGAGCTGGTATCAATTTCAGCTGTGTAACATAGCTTTATCCTCTAGAGGGCCCAGTTTCATCATTATAAAATAACCACTGACTTTTCTGCTGAGCTGTCTAAATGCCAGGAGCACTCATGTAGCTCTTCTTCTTCAAGGAAGCTCAGTTCCCCTCAGCAGGGTAGCTGAAATTCCCATAAAACTAATTTCCTCTTACAAGTACCCATGTAAGCAGTCAATTGAGGTTTTCCTCTGACCTCACATCCTTCTCCTTTGCCCCTCATTTATTATGCTTACTTTCAGTATCTCAAACTAGAAGGCCTAGCTTCTTCAGGGTCTTTGTCCCTGTGTTGCCTCTTCCTGGAATGACTCACTCCTAATTCTGGTCTCTGCTCAGTGCTGCATCTTCTCTGAGACCTTCCCTGGCCACTTGGCCTCTGCTCTCAACCCAAGTTACATCCTGTTTGCTTTCTAGCAACTGTCACCATCAGAAATTATCCTGTTTGTTTGTGAATGCATTGTCTGTCTCCTTGAACAGAACATGACATCACAGGAATAGGGCTTTGAGCCAGTTGTTCAGTGCTATATCTTCAGTGTCCAGAACAACACCTGGCACATGGTGGATGTTTAGAAAATATTGTTGGATAAATGCATGAATAAATGAATAAGGTTATAGCCCAGAACAAATTGAGCTGTGTGGGCAGATGATGTGATTTTGTTCAGTAATGTTTCTCAATGAATGGTAAGTGGAAGAGAAGGCTCTTCAAACTGAAAGGATAGACTAACTCTAATTTAAATGGAAGTGGAGCCCAAACAAGAGTTCAAGTCCCAGTACAGTCAACTATAATACAAGAGGGAAAATGATAGACATGGCTTATGATGGTGCAAAGATGTCTGACCTGGGAACTCAGAACTGAGTTCTGAAAGGCGTTTATCAAAGCCTCTCGTCATTGTTCATTATTAGGGCAGGATAAACAAGAGCGAGATGATAAACAAGAGCAAGTATACAAAGGATTGTTAGCTGGCTATAGGAATGACCTAAAGTGTGGCTCACCTGAGAGAGCGGTCTCCCGAGGTGTGCCACAGGGCTCTGCCTTTGGTGTGGTTCTGTCTCACTTTCTCATAAACAACTTAAATGGAGGCATAGAAGGGCATGAAGAATATATTTGCAAAAAGCAAAACACTATTGCAGGGGATGACAGAATCAAGATTCAACAGAATTCCACTAGCTGAAATATCATCCCAAACCAATATGGAAAATGTAATAAAGAGAATATAGATATTTTAAATTTAAGTTTTAAGAAATCAATTTTTCAACTACCAGAAGTGAGAGGCCTGTTTTAGTTGCAGTTCACATGAAAAAAATTCTGAAATTTTAACTAACCACAAACTCAATATTCACAGTATGGTTATGAAGGTCTTAGTATTAATAGAAGCATAAAGTCCATGTTCAGTGAGGGGGAGTTTCACTGCCCCACACTCTGGCCTGACCTACTTAGAGAATGCTACAGATATTCAGAGGGAGATGAGGGTGATGTTCTGCAAGGAATTTCGGAAGGAATTGGATTTGCTTAATTCAGGGGGTAAGACTCTGAAATGGGCAGGGGGAAACCATTAGGGTGAGGTAAGTGATTCAATATGATGGCTTTGAAGGAAGTCTCCTCCGTGGTAAGAGGACTTGGGTTTGAATCCCAGTGCTGCCTCTCACTGGCTAGTCCTTGAGACAAATATTGCATACCTTTAGGGTCCCAGCTGCATGCATCATCTATAAATTGAGGATAATAATCACAACCTCCTAAGGTTTTGGGGTAGATTCGATGAGACCTCTTTAAATGTTAGACCCAATTTAGATAAGGTATGGAAAGTGGTCAGAGCAATGCCTAGCATACAGTACAGGCACAATAACTAGATATTATCATTAAGAGTCAGAACACCTAAGACTCCCTAGGTGTATTTAGGGTATGGCAACAGGAAGTTTAACACCAAGGAGGGCACCATCCCAGGAACCACAACCTCTAATTCCACCCCTAGTGACATTTAGCACAATTGATGACAGACACTTACCAATCAGAGCAGTGACCTTCTGCACTCCTGGGTGAGAGAGACTGGAAGTCTCACTCCAACACCACCAGGTGGGAGAGTGGGGAGGGGACACCGGTTCAACCTTCCACAGCTATAAGCGCTCTTACTGGGAGTGTGGTCTCATGGAAGAGCAGGCTCATTCTTCATAGCTCTGAGGACTAATGGATGGATGTGTCAATGCAAATAATCCATAATCAACCTATAAATCAAGATTGTGGTGAGTTTATTATGAGCCAACCCTGAGGGTCATATAGCCCAGGAGAGTCCTTTCACAAAGGAATGGAGCACTCCAAAGAAGTGGGGTATACAGAGTGGTTATATACCGTCAAAGAGCATGTATCACATATGGTTGGAATGTCCCTTTTACAATAGTCATGAGATTGCTTTGCCAGCACAGCAATTCGGTGAACACAGCAGGTTGGTGGTTGCAAGGTGGGTAGTCATAAGGTGAATGCAGTAGGTCAGCAATCAATCCCTAGCCTAGGGAGAGATGCTTATCCTTAAGGAAATGCTGACATGGGAGGAAGATAATCTCTATCTGTAAGGGCAATCATTCTTGTCTTTGGGACATAGTAAATACTTAAAGCAGTTGTACAATGCATGCTCAATGGCCATGTCAGGCCCTTTTGGAAAAACAAGTTCAGGCCAAATTAGTTTTACAACAAATGGCTTCCTCATATACTCCAATATATCCTATTGCTTATTATTTATTTATCAGATGTTACAGAGAAGTAACCATCAGTGCAACATCAGGAAGTTTCTCATCCACAAATGCAAAGCCCTTTATGGAAAGGTGATGTGAATTTTGTCACTGAAGCCAAGTTGGTCACCTATTCAGGGATAGTGAAGAGGAAATTTCTACTTCAGAGGAGAGTTTGAATGAATTAACATTAAAGTTCTAATTTTTGTTGTTGTTAATTCTAATTTGCCTTTGGCTGTATTTTTGTAAAGAATCTAGGGACCACCTGCCACTATGAGTTCTGACAGAGGTAGAGGCAAGGAGCAAAGTAGAGATGGAAGCATCTGCTGCTTCATGAGTGGGCAAGCTTTTATTAAGATCAGCTTTTATGGGGCTGGCCCGGTGGCGCAAGCGGTTAAGTGCGCACGCTCCGCTGCGGCGGCCCGGGGTTCGCTGGTTCGGATCCCGGGCGCACACCGACGCACTGCTTGGCAAGCCATGCTGTGGCGGCGTCCCATATAAAGTGGAGGAAGATGGGCACAGATGTTAGCCCAGGGCCGTCTTCCTCAGCAAAAAAAGAGGAGGATTGGCGGATGTTAGCACAGGGCTGATCTCCTCACAAAAAAAAAAAAAAAAGATCAGCTTTTATTAAGTTTTAGGAGGAAACTGGGGAGGGTTGTTTTGAACAAAAGTTCTTTGAAGAAGAACAAGAGTTGAGGGTGTGGCAGTTTCTCACTGGCTGCATGAGGTGGTTAGTGTGTTGTTCCTGGAGCAGGGAGGAATCTTCCTTCTTAACAGCAGTAGATGAAAGTCCCGGATGGTTAATGTCCTCCCTTGTCAAAATAATTCTTATCTTCCTTCTCCCTGCTGGTTATGCAGGCTGCAACAGAGCCTTCCTTTCAGGGCTTCCTGACTCCATTTTATGTGAAATACTCTTTATTTTCACACTTCTTAACATATTTCCAACCGTGCTCAGGAAATGTCATTTTAAAGAATTTTGCATCCCACAGTTCATCTCTTTGGAGGGAGGTCTTCCAGCTGGGAAGGCAACCCATCACCTGTTATCTTCCCACACAACACCTCTCCAACACCAGCTGGGTGTCCTGTAATTCAGTTCATGCTGACACCACCTGGAGCTGGTGCAGTCCCCAGAGGTTAGGGGCTCAGTCTCGCAAGGCTGCTCCCACCTCAGACACCAGTTGCAAGTCCCAGGTTGCCAGTTGTACTTCTGACCGACTGGCTATAAATTTGGGAGTTCCCAAAACCCCCTCCCCAAGTGCAATAATTTGTTAGAATGACTCACAGAACCCAGGAAAGCACTTTTCTTGCTATTCTTGGCTTATTATAAGGGATATAACTTGGGACCAGCCAAAAGGAAGAGCTTTATAGGACAAGGTATAGCTTGGGGGGCATGTGACTTGTGGAATTTCCATGCCCTCTCTGGGTATACCATCCTCCTAGCACCTTGATGTGTTCACCAACCCAGAAGTTCTCTGAATCCCATTGTTTAGGAGTTTTATCAAGGCATAATTAACTAAATCATTGGCCACACGATTGGACTCAACCTCCAGCACCCCTCCCCTCCTCAGAGGTTGGGGAATGAGGATGAAAGTTCCAACCTTCTAGTTATGGGCTTGGTCTTTATGGTGTGGCCATTCCCTTCCTTGAACCTATCTAAAGGCCATTATGAATCACTTCATTAGCATAAACTCAAGTGTGGTTGACAGGAGCTCCTTATGGGTAACCAAGACACTCCTATCTCTCAGGAAATTTCACAGGTTTTTGAAGCTTTTTTCTAGGAACTGGGGACAAAAACCAAGTATATTGTTTACTATACCACACCTACATTCACAAATAACTCAGCTTTTTCAGGCATTGACTGGCCTGGGTCACCCTGGGGCTCTCAACTGGAGGGACTGAGAATCCATTAAAGCGTAGATTTGAAAGTCCATTTTAGAACTGCAGAGGTCCTTAGCCATCATCCAGTTCTGTCCATTTCCTTTGACAGACATCTAGTGAACACAGAACTTCAGAGACTCTTGCCCATAGTTGCCCAGTTGTCTAATAATGTTACCACACAAAGTGCAGGATCTGCTCACTGCAAGACAAAAGCCAATCATCAAGATGCAAGATGGTGGCAGAGAGAAAGGGCAGTTTATTACAGTTTGCTAGCAAGGGGGAAGATGGCCAACTAG